ATCCAGGGCCCGCAGCCTGGCAGCCTCTGCCGGGTACAAGTCCTGCAGCCAGAGGTTCCCAGCCAGCCCCTCCAGGGGCCAGGCCAGAAGGAGGTGCTCAGTGTCGGTTCCAGTGACCGCCAGGAATACGGCAACAGTGAGCTCTAGCTGCTCGTGCTGCACCTCGAGCAGCAGCTCCTCCGAAGCCATGCTGGGCCGGATCAGGCACCCAAGAAGGCTGCCAATGGCTGGCCAGTTGACGGAGGTGGCCAGTGCCTTTCGAAGCAGCTCCAGGAGGACACGGGAAGACAGGTAGCCACCCACCAGAAAGCGGTCCCAGGGGCTGCTCCCACGGGGGCAGAACTCAAGCTGAGTCCTGCGCACAGCCCAGCAGCGAGGGTCCCTGGCCACTGTGTCCACACCAGGTACCAGGCTCCACAGGCCCAGCTCGAGCACCAGGGGAACCAGGAGACGCACATGGTCAGCAGCCCCTGCCTGCAGCCCATCGTAGAGTGGCCCGCTGGGCACAAGAGGCCCAAAGGGCAATTCCTGGAACTTGCTACGCAAATAGGCCTGCAGCTCGAGGGCAATGTCACCAGCCAGCTGTTTGGCAAGAGCCACATGGGCTGTTGGAATGGCCACACGGTCCCGCTCAAATGCCAGCAGCTTCTCCTGGAATGTCAGGCACAATGGTGCTCGGGAGCTAAGCTGAGGCGACGTCTGGGGCTCAGCATCTGCAGGCCCCTCTGCAGAGTAAAGGGGTCAGAGGCCCCATGTCAGAGGCCCCCATGACCAGCCCAGAGAATTCTACCCAATTGCCAACTGTGTGACATCCCTGGGCCTCATTTTCCTCGCCTGTGAAATGACCACCTGAGACAGCACTTAGCTCAACCCAGGTTCTCACCTGGAGTGATGGCCCCAGATCCCCAGGACCCTAAAAGAGCTTCGTGTAAAGCAGGGACACACACCCTAGGCCTCGGGCCCCCATCTGAGGCCCCCACTGTCATGACTGCCACCTTGCTCTGGTTCCACCCTCAGAGTACACATGGCAGATGGAGCCTGAGCACCACCCAAGAGGCAGGAGAGCAGAGACGCGTGCCGCCATCACAACACAGGCAGTAGCGGCCCTGGTGGAGGAGGGCCTTGCATAGGTTGCACAATCCTGGCATAGCCTGGGCTGCATCTCCCAAAAGTGACCACCAAAGGGGCGCCCACCCAGACCAGAGGGGAAGGTGTGCCGCTCACCTGGGGTGGAGGGTGAGGGGCCTGGGAGTGACACGGGCTGGCTGAGGGCAGCAGGTGGGGGCCGGGGCAGTAGGCGTGGTGTGGCCTTGAGCAGGCTCAGTTCCTTCCAGCTCTCCTCCAGGCAAGTGGTGTCCCCCTTGGCGTCATCCTCATCCCGAGGGCTGGTGGCCCGGTCAATGAACTGCAGGCAGAGTGACAGAGCATCAGAAGCCTCAGCAGCCACAGCAAAGCCAGGAGCAAAGCAAACCAGGTTGCTGGGGTAGAGAAGCAGCCACCAGCCGGGAGCAGTCCCTACCCTCCACCCCCAGGGCCCCGCTGTCCTCCTCTGGGAGCCTCAGCTGTAACCGGCCCAGCCTGGCCTTACCCGCTTCACGGCCAGGGTAGCAATGCCCAGCACAGCAGCCCCGCCCACACCTAGCACCAGGCGGGCATTGGCCAGGAGGAAGTCCACTGTGCCACCCAGCACCTCATCACGCTGCTGCCCACGTTTCTGGGAGAACTCTGCCATGGTATGGGCACCTATAAGAGAAAGAGGGTACAGGGACAGCTCAGCGGGGACAGCCAGGCTGGAAGTAGGGCAGGTGCTCTAGCTGCCATCAGGCTGGGTCACTGAGAGTACAGCCCATGAGGGGGTACCTGAGGATTTCTTAGGAGAAAGGGAACACTTGCAGGTTTTCTTGGGAGGAGATGGGGAGCTGCCCAAGCCCTCTGCTTGAAACCAGCAAGCAATTCACCCACCCCTCAGACGGGGGAGCTTGCACAGGAAGACCCTGAGGCAAGTCAGAGAAGGGGGCCCATCTCTCTTTAGGACCCCTGACATCACCAAAGACTGCGAGGTGGGTCTTACCATCACCCCCGCTGCACAGAGAAACTGGCTGCCATACCACACAGTAAGTGGCAGGGATTCAGACCCACAGCTTCCATACCTCTAAACTATTGCCCACCCCTGAGTCGGTCTCCTGGGGCCGATGGCCGTCTTAGAGGCTCCTCACCCAGTTTGTAACCAGGCTAGGCACAGCAGGAATAAATCAAGGCCTAGAGAAGACCACAGCTTGGGGTCCCAGACAGCCTGTCCTAGAGGACCTCTCAGACCTTTGAGTGGACCTCAGTGAGGCTCAGGAGCCCACAGTTACCCCCACATCTCAACAGGGTAGCCCCAGAGCAAGAGATATCAAGTCAAAGGGCAGGACCTGTGAGATGGCCCAGGCTGTCCACGAACTACCTGTCAATAGGTATGTGCCAGTCAAGGCTGAAGGCCCAGCTGAAGGGGCAGTGAGCACTGTACCCTAAGACAAAGACCCCAAACAAAGGACTGGCCCAGTGCCTCTCATGGCCATTCAGATTTGGGACAACCTTGGAATGGCAGGGTGGGGGAGCTATCTTCAGCTGCCAGGAGCCCAAGAAACCAAGAAACATAAAGTAAGATGAGGGAGGGCCTGAAGCCCCAGCTGTTTGCTCACCTGTGAAACTGCAACGGTTATAAGTAAGGAGTCCAGAACTGTGGGGTTCAGTGGGAGAGCACTTGGGAAGTGGAGGCAGAGGTCTCTCCCCTCCCAGTCCAAGACTCAACCTCAGGGTCATCCATGGGGACTCTTGCCCCTCAGGCCCAGAGAGCTGGGTGGGGTGTGTGTGACCAAGGCAAGGTCAGGGGACCAGTCCGACCCCCAAGCAGAACTGTCTCTGAGGAAACCTGAGATGGCGGCGAGGTCGGAGCCAGCTAGGACACCAAGGACTTCTAACCCTCCCTGCTGGGCTGTGGGTGTCCAGGGCCCAGCTGCACAAGATGTCTGGAGCAGCTGAAGCCTGAACCACTGTAAGACTCGGCCCGGATACCACCCCCTCGTTTGCTCAGACTAAAAACAGAACAAGAGGGCTCTGGGGCCCACGTTGGTCAAAGGTTAGTGGGATGGCCCACCAGGGCCTTGCAGCCAGTTTCAGATTCCTCATCAGTGATCAATACTGTCACCAGCCTCCGGCGGGACCAGGAATCCACTTTGCAAACTGTAAATTGCTTTAAATACTCCCCACCTGTCGAAACTAGGACTCAGCCCAGTCACTGGCGGGGTCGCTCAGGCCACAACCCGCAGCGGTCCAACTAGAAGGGGGAGAAGGCGCGGGTGGTTAAAAATAACCCGGCCCTGCGATGCCTCCTGTCTTCCCCCTCCTTCGCCGAACCTGCCGCCCAGGGCCAGCGCTGCGTGGGCCTATCACAGGGAACCACAGCAAGGCCCGGGAAACGAAGTGATGTGCCCAAGACGGGAAGTGCAGGATCGGAATTCGAACTCCTGCTCCAGGTCGAAAGCCCTTCCCTCTTTCCCGGGCCGGGACCTTTTGCGGGAGCAGAGACCACGCCCCCGACCGGCGCAAACTCACTCTCCAAGCCCGGGGCTGGGTGACTAGATACACCCTGTCGCACTCCGGCCGTACCTGCGTCGCAGCTTCAGCCCACCGACCGGAAGACGTAGCGGGTCCGTTCGGGCCCCAAAGCCCGGGCCCGCCTGGAAATGGAACGTGCAGGACCCGGCAACCGAACGCTGAAGCCCTGGGGCCGACCGCTGACCGAGGAAAGGAGACAAGCAGGCCTAGCTCCAATCGGCGCGCCGAGGCCCGTGCCCAAGTGCCAAAATACTGTGCAGTTCAGCCAATGGTGGGAAGGCCACGCCCCTCCTCGTTCTGCGTAACCCCCTCGGCAGCGAGACTCTACGCACTCTGGATTTAAAGGTGCAGAGCTGCGTTTTGAGGCAGCCACCGGGCGGTGTGGTGGTGGTTCTGTGTACGACGAACGAGCCGGCTCCCAGCGACCGTTGTGATGCGTGTGCTCTTGTACCTTGACCCTCGGTGTGGAGAAAGCTGTCTAGGCCCATGTTCCTTCTGAGTGTCGGGCATACAGGCAGCACCTGTCCCGAAGGCCTGTAGGTCTGACCCTTTAGGTCATCTGTGACAGTGCCTTGGGGGCCTCCTTATTCTTTGTTGGCCTGCGGGGCACACAGCGTGATTCAGGGGGCTACCCGGCCACCTTCGTGTCACCTCGTGTGGGCCACAGCCCCACCTGGGCCTGTTTTCTCTCCTGTGAAATGGGGACACCAGACTCCCTCCACCCTTGCGAAGGATGGTCGAACGTATACCCTGCGGCTCATAAGGCATTTATTTATTGGGGCCCTACTATGTGCCGACTAGTGGAGGGAGAAAACAGGTACATGAACAGGAAGGGGTTGTTGACTAAGCGGTAGTAATTCCGCTCCACTTTCTGAGTGCCTGCTGTACTCTTCGAACTACACATGGGTTTATCCATTTGTTTCTGGCGACAACCTTACAAAGCATTTCACAGATGACACTGAGGCCAGGAGCAGACATGGGCCCTTTGTCCAGTGCTCCAGGGCCCAAGAACCTAGGTGCCCTGCCACCACTGGCCGCCATGCAGGGCCCAGCGGGCAGACTCCCTGGGAACCTGCGCCCGTGCGGCCTGGATCCTTAGTCTCTCCCGAGGTCATGGCTAACTTCACCTGCTGCAGCAGTGCAGGAACAGTGCCTGGACCGGCAGGGTCCGCGACACACCCCGCCCTAGGTCGCTGGAACTTGGCCTGGAGGTTATGTAGCCTCCTGCGCGATCACAGGGGGCGCCGGGACTCCTCGAGGGCCTTACGCTCAGTGAACAGATAGGGAAACTGAGGCCCAGAAAGTCCTAAAGCCCCGGCGGCGGGTGCTTCCTGCCGAGTGCCGGTGCGCGGAGTCCCCAAGGGCGCGGCCCGCCCTTCCCCTTCCCGCCCGCCGGGCGGGGGCGGGTTAAAGGGGCGGGGCCGGCGCCGGCCAGCCCGCGGCTCTCCAGGCCGCCCTCAGCGCCCGCCCGACCCCGCAGCGAGAGCTGCGCCATGGAGGCCACCGGAGTGCTGCCGTTCGTGCGCGGCGTGGACCTCAGTGGCAACGATTTCAAGGTGAGGCAGCGGGTCTGGCCTCCCTCTAGGCCGTCGCTTCCGCTCCGGCCGCGCAGTTCTCCGCTTCCTGTCCCGCCCGCCCCCGGGCTGTGCGCCGCCCGGGACCGCGGGCGGGGCGGCTGGGGCTACCCCGGTACTCGGGCCTCCGCACCAGAAGACCGACACCGGGCACAGCCGGGAAGGACGCTTGGGCTCGGGGTCCCGCCAGGAGAAGGGAGCCATTTCCTGTCCCCATACCGGGATCTGGGCCCTACCCGGGCTAGAGAAGGGCCTGGGGGTCTTCAAACTTTCGCTCCGGCCTCGCCAGCCCTCCTTCTCCACCCTCTGAGGTCACACGCACAAGCCGGGCCCTGACTCTGGGGCGAGCTGCCTGGGCTGTAGGGGGCGGGTCTGTAGCCAACTCATCACTGCCCTGTCGGCGACATTGCCACCCCCGTCCTGTGTGGGCATGGGCAAGGTCAGCGCACTGCGAGCCTCTGTTTTCTCTTCTGGTGAAGGATCTTTAAAATTAGTCAGAGTGGAGAGTGTGGCCTGCAGCAGTGTGAGGCCCAGGGGGGTGTCTTAGCAGTTGCTAGACTGACAGATCGGGCCACAAGCAACCACAGCCCAGCCTACCAGCCAGTTGGTGGGCGAGGCAGTTAGAGGGTCAGGATGAGGTGGGCGGTGCCGGTGACCAGAGAGGTGAGAGCTGGCCAGGTACAGGGAGGGGCTGCTTGGTCTGCCCCTGGGGTCCCAGTGTTCTGTCTGGTCTGGGAGAATCTGAGTTACAGGCCAGGAATGTGGCCGTAGGGGAAGGGGACACTTAAGTCACATGCTGCTGCCAGCTCCCTGCCATGAGAGCTGGGGGTACTGAGGTGGGCGTGCCAGTGTGGGGAGTGAGCGAATGAATTCAAATGTGCCTGTGCAAGGTGGGGACCTGGTTCCTCACAACAGGACTGGGCCTTGCCACTAATGGTCTGTATGCTGAGAGCAGGGTGGGGGCATGGGTGGGGCCTTGGCAGAGGCTTGGGGATAGCCCCCATCGCAGGGCAGACCAGGCAGGGCCTGGAATGCCAAGCGAAGGCATTTGAGCTGAGCTGACCGCATAGCTGAGCTCTGGGGATGCTGCCTGGAACAAGCCAGTTGTGTCCTGGCCTTCCTGGGCTAGTAGTCCAGCAAGAGGGGCAGGTCTTAGGCTAACAGCCATCCTGGTAATAGTCCATCTTCACAATACCTTTGTCATGAGGGAGCTCTTATTAGCCCTGTTTTATAAGTGGGGAAATTGAGGCACAGCATAGCGGAGGGATTTATGCAGGGTCACACAGCTAGGGAGAAGTGGCTTTCTTGCTCCCCAAAGGCTCCTATGGGCAGTGGGGGCTGCAGAGGGTGGTAGATTGGGGTACTCCTTTCCTAGAACAGCCTTACCATGACATACCCCTGGTCCCCAGGGTGGCTACTTCCCTGAGAATGTCAAGGCTATGACCAGTCTGCGATGGCTGAAGCTGAACCGCACAGGCCTCTGCTACCTGCCAGAGGAGCTGGCTGCACTGCAGAAACTGGTAAGGGGCTTTGGGCAGGCAGGGAGGGTCCCTATGCATAGGGCTGGGCCAAGTGGGCAGACTGCACAGAGAAGACACGTGACAAGAGGAAGACATTGACAGCCATGAGCAGAGCTGGCAGAGGTGAAGTGAGCACCCTGCCCCGGGAGGTATGCAAGAGGAGGCTGGGTCTGTGAGGAGGGTAGATTGCAGGGTGGACTAGGCCTGTGTGGCCAAGGGCCCCCCAGGTGGTGCAAGGTTGTGGTGGCAGATGGGGAGTCTGTAGACACTGGACCCACTTGCCCAGCCTCTGCTGCCCCATCCCTGCCCAGGAGCATTTGTCTGTGAGCCACAACCACCTGACCACGCTTCATGGAGAGCTATCCAGCCTGCCGTCGCTGCGGGTGAGTGCAGCCAGAGGTGCAAGCTTGGGGGCACCGGAGTCCAGCCTGGGAGTGAGGGCAGGGCCAGGCCCATCCCCGTGTCAGACTGAGGGGCCCACCCCAGGGGGGGGAGGACACAGTTAATGCCTGCAGTGAGTAATCCCCGGGGAGAAAGCGCAAAACATCCAAGCTCCCACCCAGCTCAGACGGCAGCAGCCAGTACAGTGATGATGGCTGGTAGGGGCTGAGCACCGTTCCAACTCTCCATGTGGGTTTTTTCATATAATCTTGACCTCTGCCAAGTTGACGGATGAGGACGCTTGGCCACAGCGGCAGGTCACTTGCTTGAGGTCACACAGCCAGGCAGTAGTGGAGCTGGACTCTGGTGGTGTTTAGCCAGGAGGGGAAGTGGTCAGGGTGGTCCTCTCACCCTTCTGCTCTCTGTGGGGCCTCTGATTCCCCCAAATTAGGTCGGTCCCTTTAGGCATCGACAAGGGTTGTTCCTATCCAAGACTGGAGCCCTGAGATACTAAGGGTGCAACTTCCGGACTTGTCCTGCCTGAGTTCTGATCTGAGCTCTGCCACTTCTGGCTGTGTGACCTTGGACAAGTCGCTTTCACTTTCTGGGGAGGGCTTAGTGGGTAACGGCTGTGAAGCAGCAGTGTGGCACCACACAGATGCCAGGGCTGAAGAGAGTTGGCGGTGGCCTTGCTTACAATCCCACCACCACTCCCTGGCCTGTCCTTCCCCCCTGAACTAGCTGCATGTCTATAGCATGACACTTCAATTGTAAAAGGGTAAAAAAGACTTGCCAGGTCTACATTCTGATTTTTCTGTAGTCCAACCCTCTCCTGTTCTAGAAACCCTGACTCACAGCTATACCCTATCTTGCCCTCTGAAATTGGTAAGAAGAGGGATTGTTTGATCAGAAAAGGTCCCTGAGAACCTTGTGCTGGGCTCTAAGGGCACATTTGAGCTGGGTTTTGAAGAGTCACTAAGAGCTCATCAGGAGGCTAGGAAGAGCTTGCCTGGTGGAAGGACTGCACACAAAGTCCAGGGTGGGCAAGCTCTAGGGTCTGGCCTCTGGTGGGCTCCTTGAGGAGGCATCTCTCCTTAATGTCTCTGCCTCTTCCTGCGAGTGGAAGCCAAGAATCACAGACGCTCATGGTTTATCCCTAGGCCATTGTGGCTCGAGCCAACAACCTGAAGAATTCTGGGGTCCCTGATGACATCTTCAAGCTGGATGACCTCTCGGTCCTGGTCAGTGGTCACCCACCCACCTGGCCTCTGTACTGGCCCCACCAGTCAGTCTCCATCTATTACAGCGGTCCCTGGGGCCATTGTTACTTCATTCAACAGAAGGAGAAACTGAGGCTTAGAGTAGGCAGTGCCTTGCCCAAGGTCACTCATGGAGGCGGACCCCTAACCTAGGGGCCCTTCCTCCCAGGGTCCTGGCTATCTCCCTTTGGCCTGGAAGCCCTGTCACCCACTCCTTCTGCAGTGCCCCACCTGATCCCCAAGTTCAGCAGAGGCCTGGTGGGGCCGGACCAGCCCTGACACCCCTGACCTGGCCCCGCCCCTCCCACCAGGACTTGAGCTACAACCAGCTGACAGAGTGCCCGCGGGAGCTGGACAGCGCCAAGAACATGCTGGTGCTGAACCTCAGCCACAACAGGTGCTCTGGACTGGGGTCGGGGAGGGTCCAGGCTATGACACAGCGGGACACAGTGGGGACAGGAGGTGTGTGTCTGACACTGACTTGGGAGCCCCTGCCCGCCTCACTCCCATCTGCCCACAGCATTGACACCATCCCCAACCAGCTCTTCATCAACCTCACCGACCTGCTGCACCTGGACCTCAGCGAGAACCGCCTGGAGAGCTTGCCCCCACAAATGCGCCGCCTGGTGCACCTGCAGACGCTCGTGCTCAATGGGAACCCACTGCTGCATGCCCAGCTCCGGTGGGCGCCCCCCAGGGATTCCCATCCAGAACCATCCGGGGGAGTCTGACCCCTCCCCTCCGCAGTAGGCCCCCCTTCCTGTTTGGGCCTGTGCCCCACACCTGCCCTGTGTGGTGTGTGCCCTTCGACCCCATCTTGCCCTGTCATGTCCGCCTCAGTCCTGAGTCCCAATGACCCACTCCATGGCTGCCCTCAGTGTTGTCCCCTCAGACCCCTGGGTATGCTCCTGGCCTGACTGCCCGCATCTCCCTGCAGGCAGCTCCCAGCGCTCACGGCCCTGCAGACCCTGCACCTGAGGAACACGCAGCGTACCCAGGGCAACCTCCCGACCAGCCTGGAGGGCCTGGGCAGCCTAGCAGGTTGGTAGTCCCTGGGCAACCCCCTCATTCTCCGGCTCCCTCAGGTCCCCTGCTTCCTCGTGGAGGAAGGAATTGGCCCTGCTTCTCTGACCACATCCCAGAGGGAAAAGGATATGGTTATGTTTTAATTATTTCTGTCATTACTGTGATGACTAGTAGTAACACCAAGTTTTGAGCACTGACTTTATGCTTAGACCCACCTGGTATGAGAAGCTTCTTCAAGTGGAGAAATTGAAACTCAAAGAGGTTAAGTCACTCGCTTAAGGCCACAGAGCCTGGAGGTGGCATAGCTGGGGCTCACACTGGGCTGGCCGCCCCCAGCAGCTGGCTGACGCACCCCCCATGCCCCAGATGTGGATCTGTCCTGCAACGACCTGACACGGGTGCCCGAGTGCCTGTACACCCTGCCCAGCCTGCGCCGTCTCAACCTCAGCAGTAACCAGATCACAGAGCTGTCCCTGTGCATTGACCAGTGGGTACATGTGGAGACCTTGAACCTTTCCCGAAACCAGCTGACCTCACTGCCCGTACGTCTGTGCCTGGGTTGGGAGAGGGGAAGGCTGCTGGGCCGCCATGGCTGCCACCCCTGACTCCCTTCTCAACCCGTCCCTACAGTCGGCCATTTGCAAGCTGACCAGGCTGAAGAAGCTGTACCTGAACTCCAACAAGCTGGACTTCGATGGGCTGCCCTCAGGCATCGGCAAGCTGGCCAGCTTGGAGGAGTTCATGGCTGCCAACAATAACCTGGAATTGATCCCCGAAAGCCTGTGCAGGTGCTGGGGCAAGACTGGGCGAGTTCCAGAGAACCCTGGAATTGTAGCCAGCACCCATCCTGTGGTCTTCATGCATCATACAGAAAGGATGGGTTAATTTGGCTTTGTGGATAAAGACCACCAGTCCTGTGCCAGCAACTCCCGGTTTGGGTTCCTCAGAGCACCCTTTGGGAGGACACTGATAAGGACTGGAGGGGCTCCCCTGCTGTGTGAGTTTGGGACATGTGCTGTTTCTCTCCCTTTATGGAGGTCCCAGGACCCACTAGTGTGGCCTCCCAGCTCTTGAGAAGTCCTTCAGGCAGGGAACAGGGGACCCCTGCCCTCCGGCAGCTTCCAAGCTAATCTGAAGACAGAATGGGTTTTAGTGCCCTCTTATTCATATCCAGGGGCCTTTAGTTCTGCAGAAGCCACTTGGAAAAATGTGGTTCTGGAGAACCCACAGAAAACTCAGTCAGCTGTGCGGGACTCCAGTTTCACCCGCCCCAGCCTTCCTGCCTTTCCTGGTTTCTTAACTGCTCACTTCCTCTTGCCCTATGTGCCCCACCAACCCCAAGACTGGAAGTTCCCCTGCCTTCTGTCTGTCTCCTTCCTGAGACCCTGGCTCTGTCCTCATAGGTGTACAAAGCTGAGGAAACTCATTTTGAATAAGAACTGCCTGGTGACTCTCCCGGAGGCCATCCACTTCCTGATGGAGATTGAGGTCAGGGCAGGCCCAGGCACACCGGCAGTCAGGAGGTGGGGCCTGGGGGTAGGCGAAGGTGCAGAGAGACCAAGCAAAGGGTGTCACCAGAGGGAGGCCCAGACGCCTGCAGGAGGGGTGGTCAGTGCCAGGGTGGGGAGAAGGAGCCGTGTGTACATATCACGCTCAACAGCATCATGTAAGCCCCAGCCAGCCTGCAAGGTCACATGTCACAGATGGGAAAACGGAAGCCCACAGGGGGCAGCTGCAGAGCCAGTGTGCAATTCCAGGCCCCTGGCCCCAGCCCTGGGCTCTCAGCCCAGACAGTTACAATGAGCAGAAAACCGGGTTTGGTGTGGCTGCAGATAGAGCTCCGGCTCAGTGCCTCCACTCACCCCATGAGACAGGTCCTGGATGTGCGGGAGAACCCGAGTCTGGTCATGCCTCCCAAGCCCGCTGACCCCGCCGCCGAGTGGTACAACATCGACTTCTCACTGCAGAACCAGCTACGGCTGGCGGGCGCCTCCCCTGCTACTGTGGCAGCAGCAGCTGCTGGTAAATGGGAAGGTCTGGCCTGCGAAGCGGGTGGGGGTCCTAACTTACCATCTGTAAACTGGGTGGACACGCGTGAGTCTCTGGGTCCTTGGGTGGGGGTTGCACCCAGGGAGGGGGCCCAGACAGGGCTCAGCTATTTGACCCTCCCCTAAGCAGGAAGTGGACCCAAGGACCCTCTGGCTCGCAAGATGCGGCTTCGGAGGCGCAAGGACTCGGCCCAGGATGACCAGGCCAAGCAGGTTCTGAAGGGCATGTCAGATGTGGCCCAGGAGAAGAACCAAAAGCAGGAGGTAAGCTAAGCCAGGGGCTGGGATGGGACAGAAGGCCCTGGGCTATGCTCAAGACAGACTTTGTGACCCAGGCCAAGAGGGAGAGGAGGCCCTGGGTGAGGAAAACAGTCCATGCAAAGGCCCTGAGGTGGGTAGCAAGCATAGAGGCCAGCCTGAGTGGCTGTCAGAGTTGAGCCATGCATTGATTTTGACCCCAGGAGAGCATAGATGCCCGAGCCACCGGGGGCAAGGTGCGGCGCTGGGACCAGGGTCTGGAGAAGCCGCGCCTGGACTACTCTGAGTTCTTCACGGAGGATGTGGGCCAGTTGCCTGGCCTGACCATCTGGCAGATCGAGAATTTCCTGCCTGTGCTGGTGGAGGAGGCCTTCCACGGCAAGTTCTATGAGGCTGACTGCTACATTGTGCTCAAGGTGAGGGCAGCATGCTGTTGGGGGGCCCATAACCCCCAGTGCCTGCATCTTAGATGACTCAGAATCCCCAGCTCCACAGTTTTGTTCATTGAGGCAAGGTGGGAGGGGAGGGCTTTGCAAAGAAGGCCAGATGGAGATGGCCTAGGCAGAGGTGGCAGTGCAACCCATCCTGGGGCCCAGGAACCTCCTTGCCAGTAAGAGTGGCCTCTCTGTGGTGAGTGGGGAAGCCAGGACGCCTGGGCGAGGGCTGACTCGGCGATGCCCTGGCCCCCAGACTTTTCTGGACGAGAGCGGCTCTCTGAACTGGGAGATCTACTACTGGATCGGCGGGGAGGCCACCCTGGACAAGAAAGCTTGCTCAGCCATCCACGCAGTGAACCTGCGCAACTACCTGGGTGCTGAGTGCCGCACCGTGCGGGAGGAGATGGGCGAGGAGAGCGGGGAGTTCCTGCAGGTGCCGGCAGGAGGGGCGGGCCGGCCGGATGCGTGCAGGGCCGATGGGCCAAAGGTGGCAGGGGTCCCAACACACAGTAGACAGCAGGGCCAGAGAGGGGGAAGTCAGGAGAGGGATGGGGAGCTAGGGTCAATAGTAGCTAGGGGGTGGGCCACCAGCTGGGCACCAAGGAGGCAGGGCCAAGGGCAGGACCGGTAAGCAGGGTTCACGAGCTGGTTACGTGTAGACACCCACACACCCACAGGATTTTACTCCAATTCAACCAAGTCCTGTACCCTGATCCATGGCTATCTAAACATGCTGTGTCTGTCTAAACCTGCGCAGGGCTGAACACCTTCTTCTGTACATCTTAACACTCCATCCAGTATGTTTATGCTTATAGACAAAGGTATTATTTACTTACTCATTTATTTCACTTCATCGTGGATCTGTAGCACCTGCTGCGCCTGCACACTGTGCTGTGCCCTGCTGACAGGTGTGTTTGGTGGGGGGAGGGAGGCCACTCAGTGAAGGACCTCACCTTGCCACAGGTGTTTGACAACAACATCTCCTACATTGAGGGTGGCACAGCCAGTGGCTTCTACACTGTGGAGGACACGCACTATGTCACCAGGTGAGGGGCTGTGGGTGGGTAGTGCTGACCCAGACTCATCTGGGAAGGATCTGGGGGAAGGTGGGTGCTAAGGGAGAGCCATCCTGTTGGCGCCCCACTGTGCCACCCATGCTCTGGCCCCCAGGATGTACCGCGTGTATGGGAAAAAGAACATCAAGTTGGAGCCCGTGCCCCTCAAGGGGGCCTCCCTGGACCCGAGGTAAGCCCATGACTCAGGGTGCGGTGCTTCATCCTACATCTCTTCTGCACTAGTGGGGAGCAAGTTGGACGCCAAAAGAGGCTTTCCAGCCATGCTTTTAACCCCTGTCCCACAGAGCTTGGCAGGACCATAATAAGGAATTTGGGGTGGGGCCAGGGTATGGAGACAGTCACTGACTGTGCCCCTCACAGCCCCTCCTGCCCTTCCTGTCCAGGTTTGTTTTCCTGCTGGACCGAGGGCTGGATATCTACGTGTGGCGGGGGGCCCAGGCCACACTGAGCTGCACAACCAAGGCCAGGTATGAGGCCTACGCTCCACTCCAATGTGGGGGAGTGCTTTGTGCAAAGAACTGTCACCAGGGAAGGGGTATGGGCCTCACTAAGGGCTTGCACCCTGCCCTCAGGCTCTTTGCGGAGAAAATTAATAAGAATGAGCGGAAAGGGAAAGCAGAGATTACGCTGCTGGTGCAAGGCCAGGAGCCCCCAGAGTTCTGGGAGGTGCTGGGCGGGGAGCCCTCCGAGATCAAGAAGCATGTGCCTGATGATTTCTGGCCCCCGCAGCCCAAGCTGTACAAGGTGAGCTATGGTACTGAAGTGCAGGGCTGGCCTGACTCTACCAGCAGTCCCATTGGGACATGGGCTGTGGTGTCTGTCTGGACTTTGGTGGGGAGAGGTTGCCACGTTCTGGATAGGGACTAGCCTGAGCAGAGGTCTGGAGACTGACATGGAGTTTGGCTGTGAGGAGGTGTTAAGAGTGTGTGTTTCCAGGAAGGTGGGGCTGGAGGAGGAGGCTGGGAAGTGTCTGAGCGCTGGGCCTTAATGCTGTAGGTGACTGGAAGCCATGGAGCTTTTGCGAGGAGAAAAAGGACAAGTTAGAGAATTAGAAATGGGCGGTAAGGACCTGGACGGGATAGGCAGGGAAAGCACCTTCTAAAAGCCTTCGAGGGACAAGATGCCCTTAAACGACCCTGGGATAGAGGGAGGAAACCAAGGTCCAGAGAGGAGGAGGGGCAGGAGCAGACAGGCAGCGGACCTGAGAGCACACGGCCGGGAAGGGTCCCTTCAAATTGGTGGGGTTGGGGCTGGGCCTACTGTGGGCGCGGCTCATGTCCCCAGGCCCCGCCCTCTCCACACCCACCTCTTTCCCCTGCCAGGTGGGCCTGGGCCTCGGCTACTTGGAGCTGCCGCAGATCAACTACAAGCTGTCTGTGGAACATAAGACACGGCCGAAGGTGGAACTGATGCCTAGGATGCGGCTGGTGAGACGCAAAGGGAGGACACACGGGCGGGATCCCTCCCCAATGGCGCGGCATCGCATTGACCTCCAACCTCTGGCCCCTGGGGACAGGAGGTGTGTGTCTGACACTGACTTGGGAGCCCCTGCCCGCCTCACTCCCATCTGCCCACAGCATTGACACCATCCCCAACCAGCTCTTCATCAACCTCACCGACCTGCTGCACCTGGACCTCAGCGAGAACCGCCTGGAGAGCTTGCCCCCACAAATGCGCCGCCTGGTGCACCTGCAGACGCTCGTGCTCAATGGGAACCCACTGCTGCATGCCCAGCTCCGGTGGGCGCCCCCCAGGGATTCCCATCCAGAACCATCCGGGGGAGTCTGACCCCTCCCCTCCGCAGTAGGCCCCCCTTCCTGTTTGGGCCTGTGCCCCACACCTGCCCTGTGTGGTGTGTGCCCTTCGACCCCATCTTGCCCTGTCATGTCCGCCTCAGTCCTGAGTCCCAATGACCCACTCCATGGCTGCCCTCAGTGTTGTCCCCTCAGACCCCTGGGTATGCTCCTGGCCTGACTGCCCGCATCTCCCTGCAGGCAGCTCCCAGCGCTCACGGCCCTGCAGACCCTGCACCTGAGGAACACGCAGCGTACCCAGGGCAACCTCCCGACCAGCCTGGAGGGCCTGGGCAGCCTAGCAGGTTGGTAGTCCCTGGGCAACCCCCTCATTCTCCGGCTCCCTCAGGTCCCCTGCTTCCTCGTGGAGGAAGGAATTGGCCCTGCTTCTCTGACCACATCCCAGAGGGAAAAGGATATGGTTATGTTTTAATTATTTCTGTCATTACTGTGATGACTAGTAGTAACACCAAGTTTTGAGCACTGACTTTATGCTTAGACCCACCTGGTATGAGAAGCTTCTTCAAGTGGAGAAATTGAAACTCAAAGAGGTTAAGTCACTCGCTTAAGGCCACAGAGCCTGGAGGTGGCATAGCTGGGGCTCACACTGGGCTGGCCGCCCCCAGCAGCTGGCTGACGCACCCCCCATGCCCCAGATGTGGATCTGTCCTGCAACGACCTGACACGGGTGCCCGAGTGCCTGTACACCCTGCCCAGCCTGCGCCGTCTCAACCTCAGCAGTAACCAGATCACAGAGCTGTCCCTGTGCATTGACCAGTGGGTACATGTGGAGACCTTGAACCTTTCCCGAAACCAGCTGACCTCACTGCCCGTACGTCTGTGCCTGGGTTGGGAGAGGGGAAGGCTGCTGGGCCGCCATGGCTGCCACCCCTGACTCCCTTCTCAACCCGTCCCTACAGTCGGCCATTTGCAAGCTGACCAGGCTGAAGAAGCTGTACCTGAACTCCAACAAGCTGGACTTCGATGGGCTGCCCTCAGGCATCGGCAAGCTGGCCAGCTTGGAGGAGTTCATGGCTGCCAACAATAACCTGGAATTGATCCCCGAAAGCCTGTGCAGGTGCTGGGGCAAGACTGGGCGAGTTCCAGAGAACCCTGGAATTGTAGCCAGCACCCATCCTGTGGTCTTCATGCATCATACAGAAAGGATGGGTTAATTTGGCTTTGTGGATAAAGACCACCAGTCCTGTGCCAGCAACTCCCGGTTTGGGTTCCTCAGAGCACCCTTTGGGAGGACACTGATAAGGACTGGAGGGGCTCCCCTGCTGTGTGAGTTTGGGACATGTGCTGTTTCTCTCCCTTTATGGAGGTCCCAGGACCCACTAGTGTGGCCTCCCAGCTCTTGAGAAGTCCTTCAGGCAGGGAACAGGGGACCCCTGCCCTCCGGCAGCTTCCAAGCTAATCTGAAGACAGAATGGGTTTTAGTGCCCTCTTATTCATATCCAGGGGCCTTTAGTTCTGCAGAAGCCACTTGGAAAAATGTGGTTCTGGAGAACCCACAGAAAACTCAGTCAGCTGTGCGGGACTCCAGTTTCACCCGCCCCAGCCTTCCTGCCTTTCCTGGTTTCTTAACTGCTCACTTCCTCTTGCCCTATGTGCCCCACCAACCCCAAGACTGGAAGTTCCCCTGCCTTCTGTCTGTCTCCTTCCTGAGACCCTGGCTCTGTCCTCATAGGTGTACAAAGCTGAGGAAACTCATTTTGAATAAGAACTGCCTGGTGACTCTCCCGGAGGCCATCCACTTCCTGATGGAGATTGAGGTCAGGGCAGGCCCAGGCACACCGGCAGTCAGGAGGTGGGGCCTGGGGGTAGGCGAAGGTGCAGAGAGACCAAGCAAAGGGTGTCACCAGAGGGAGGCCCAGACGCCTGCAGGAGGGGTGGTCAGTGCCAGGGTGGGGAGAAGGAGCCGTGTGTACATATCACGCTCAACAGCATCATGTAAGCCCCAGCCAGCCTGCAAGGTCACATGTCACAGATGGGAAAACGGAAGCCCACAGGGGGCAGCTGCAGAGCCAGTGTGCAATTCCAGGCCCCTGGCCCCAGCCCTGGGCTCTCAGCCCAGACAGTTACAATGAGCAGAAAACCGGGTTTGGTGTGGCTGCAGATAGAGCTCCGGCTCAGTGCCTCCACTCACCCCATGAGACAGGTCCTGGATGTGCGGGAGAACCCGAGTCTGGTCATGCCTCCCAAGCCCGCTGACCCCGCCGCCGAGTGGTACAACATCGACTTCTCACTGCAGAACCAGCTACGGCTGGCGGGCGCCTCCCCTGCTACTGTGGCAGCAGCAGCTGCTGGTAAATGGGAAGGTCTGGCCTGCGAAGCGGGTGGGGGTCCTAACTTACCATCTGTAAACTGGGTGGACACGCGTGAGTCTCTGGGTCCTTGGGTGGGGGTTGCACCCAGGGAGGGGGCCCAGACAGGGCTCAGCTATTTGACCCTCCCCTAAGCAGGAAGTGGACCCAAGGACCCTCTGGCTCGCAAGATGCGGCTTCGGAGGCGCAAGGACTCGGCCCAGGATGACCAGGCCAAGCAGGTTCTGAAGGGCATGTCAGATGTGGCCCAGGAGAAGAACCAAAAGCAGGAGGTAAGCTAAGCCAGGGGCTGGGATGGGACAGAAGGCCCTGGGCTATGCTCAAGACAGACTTTGTGACCCAGGCCAAGAGGGAGAGGAGGCCCTGGGTGAGGAAAACAGTCCATGCAAAGGCCCTGAGGTGGGTAGCAAGCATAGAGGCCAGCCTGAGTGGCTGTCAGAGTTGAGCCATGCATTGATTTTGACCCCAGGAGAGCATAGATGCCCGAGCCACCGGGGGCAAGGTGCGGCGCTGGGACCAGGGTCTGGAGAAGCCGCGCCTGGACTACTCTGAGTTCTTCACGGAGGATGTGGGCCAGTTGCCTGGCCTGACCATCTGGCAGATCGAGAATTTCCTGCCTGTGCTGGTGGAGGAGGCCTTCCACGGCAAGTTCTATGAGGCTGACTGCTACATTGTGCTCAAGGTGAGGGCAGCATGCTGTTGGGGGGCCCATAACCCCCAGTGCCTGCATCTTAGATGACTCAGAATCCCCAGCTCCACAGTTTTGTTCATTGAGGCAAGGTGGGAGGGGAGGGCTTTGCAAAGAAGGCCAGATGGAGATGGCCTAGGCAGAGGTGGCAGTGCAACCCATCCTGGGGCCCAGGAACCTCCTTGCCAGTAAGAGTGGCCTCTCTGTGGTGAGTGGGGAAGCCAGGACGCCTGGGCGAGGGCTGACTCGGCGATGCCCTGGCCCCCAGACTTTTCTGGACGAGAGCGGCTCTCTGAACTGGGAGATCTACTACTGGATCGGCGGGGAGGCCACCCTGGACAAGAAAGCTTGCTCAGCCATCCACGCAGTGAACCTGCGCAACTACCTGGGTGCTGAGTGCCGCACCGTGCGGGAGGAGATGGGCGAGGAGAGCGGGGAGTTCCTGCAGGTGCCGGCAGGAGGGGCGGGCCGGCCGGATGCGTGCAGGGCCGATGGGCCAAAGGTGGCAGGGGTCCCAACACACAGTAGACAGCAGGGCCAGAGAGGGGGAAGTCAGGAGAGGGATGGGGAGCTAGGGTCAATAGTAGCTAGGGGGTGGGCCACCAGCTGGGCACCAAGGAGGCAGGGCCAAGGGCAGGACCGGTAAGCAGGGTTCACGAGCTGGTTACGTGTAGACACCCACACACCCACAGGATTTTACTCCAATTCAACCAAGTCCTGTACCCTGATCCATGGCTATCTAAACATGCTGTGTCTGTCTAAACCTGCGCAGGGCTGAACACCTTCTTCTGTACATCTTAACACTCCATCCAGTATGTTTATGCTTATAGACAAAGGTATTATTTACTTACTCATTTATTTCACTTCATCGTGGATCTGTAGCACCTGCTGCGCCTGCACACTGTGCTGTGCCCTGCTGACAGGTGTGTTTGGTGGGGGGAGGGAGGCCACTCAGTGAAGGACCTCACCTTGCCACAGGTGTTTGACAACAACATCTCCTACATTGAGGGTGGCACAGCCAGTGGCTTCTACACTGTGGAGGACACGCACTATGTCACCAGGTGAGGGGCTGTGGGTGGGTAGTGCTGACCCAGACTCATCTGGGAAGGATCTGGGGGAAGGTGGGTGCTAAGGGAGAGCCATCCTGTTGGCGCCCCACTGTGCCACCCATGCTCTGGCCCCCAGGATGTACCGCGTGTATGGGAAAAAGAACATCAAGTTGGAGCCCGTGCCCCTCAAGGGGGCCTCCCTGGACCCGAGGTAAGCCCATGACTCAGGGTGCGGTGCTTCATCCTACATCTCTTCTGCACTAGTGGGGAGCAAGTTGGACGCCAAAAGAGGCTTTCCAGCCATGCTTTTAACCCCTGTCCCACAGAGCTTGGCAGGACCATAATAAGGAATTTGGGGTGGGGCCAGGGTATGGAGACAGTCACTGACTGTGCCCCTCACAGCCCCTCCTGCCCTTCCTGTCCAGGTTTGTTTTCCTGCTGGACCGAGGGCTGGATATCTACGTGTGGCGGGGGGCCCAGGCCACACTGAGCTGCACAACCAAGGCCAGGTATGAGGCCTACGCTCCACTCCAATGTGGGGGAGTGCTTTGTGCAAAGAACTGTCACCAGGGAAGGGGTATGGGCCTCACTAAGGGCTTGCACCCTGCCCTCAGGCTCTTTGCGGAGAAAATTAATAAGAATGAGCGGAAAGGGAAAGCAGAGATTACGCTGCTGGTGCAAGGCCAGGAGCCCCCAGAGTTCTGGGAGGTGCTGGGCGGGGAGCCCTCCGAGATCAAGAAGCATGTGCCTGATGATTTCTGGCCCCCGCAGCCCAAGCTGTACAAGGTGAGCTATGGTACTGAAGTGCAGGGCTGGCCTGACTCTACCAGCAGTCCCATTGGGACATGGGCTGTGGTGTCTGTCTGGACTTTGGTGGGGAGAGGTTGCCACGTTCTGGATAGGGACTAGCCTGAGCAGAGGTCTGGAGACTGACATGGAGTTTGGCTGTGAGGAGGTGTTAAGAGTGTGTGTTTCCAGGAAGGTGGGGCTGGAGGAGGAGGCTGGGAAGTGTCTGAGCGCTGGGCCTTAATGCTGTAGGTGACTGGAAGCCATGGAGCTTTTGCGAGGAGAAAAAGGACAAGTTAGAGAATTAGAAATGGGCGGTAAGGACCTGGACGGGATAGGCAGGGAAAGCACCTTCTAAAAGCCTTCGAGGGACAAGATGCCCTTAAACGACCCTGGGATAGAGGGAGGAAACCAAGGTCCAGAGAGGAGGAGGGGCAGGAGCAGACAGGCAGCGGACCTGAGAGCACACGGCAGGGAAGGGTCCCTTCAAATTGGTGGGGTTGGGGCTGGGCCTACTGTGGGCGCGGCTCATGTCCCCAGGCCCCGCCCTCTCCACACCCACCTCTTTCCCCTGCCAGGTGGGCCTGGGCCTCGGCTACTTGGAGCTGCCGCAGATCAACTACAAGCTGTCTGTGGAACATAAGACACGGCCGAAGGTGGAACTGATGCCTAGGATGCGGCTGGTGAGACGCAAAGGGAGGACACACGGGCGGGATCCCTCCCCAATGGCGCGGCATCGCATTGACCTCCAACCTCTGGCCCCACAGTTGCAGAGCCTGCTGGACACACACTGCGTGTACATCCTGGACTGTTGGTCCGACGTGTTTATTTGGCTCGGCCGCAAGTCCCCGCGCCTGGTGCGTGCCGCCGCCCTCAAGCTGGGCCAGGAGCTGTGTGGGATGCTGCACCGGCCACGCCACGCCGTGGTCAGCCGCAGCCTCGAGGGCACCGAGGCGCAGGTACACAGTGCACCCAGCCCGTGGAGGCCAACACCCCCGGTGAGCAGTTCAAGCCGGGACCCCTCAGTGGCTGGGTTACAGCCCTACAGAGCTCTGCCCAAGCCCCAAACAGCCGCCCGCCCCCTTCCTGTTCTAGGCCCCGGCCAGCTCCCGGGCCCCAACTCCCAAGTCTCCCTCAGCCTCCTCTGGCTCCAACCCCTGTTCTTAACCTCCGGCAGGTGTTCAAGGCCAAGTTCAAGAACTGGGACGACGTGTTGACAGTGGACTATACGCGCAACGCAGAAGCTGTGCTGCAGGGCCCGGGACTCGCAGGGAAGGTGAAGCGCGATACCGAGAAGAAAGACCAGATGAAGGCCGACCTCACTGCGCTCTTCCTGCCCCGGCAGCCGCCCATGGCGCCGGCCGAGGTGGGGGCGGGGCTCGGCGGGGGCGGGGCCCGGGCGCGGCCGGCCTGGGCCTGCCTAGTGACGAGCGTCGGGCCTGCAGGCGGAGCAGCTGATGGAGGAGTGGAACGAGGACCTGGACGGCATGGAGGGCTTTGTGCTAGAGGGCAAGAAGTTTGCGCGGCTGCCCGAGGAGGAGTTCGGCCACTTCTACACGCAGGACTGCTACGTGTTCCTCTGCAGGTACCGCCCCAGGACACCTCCCTCACCGGGGCCTCCCCTGGTGGTGGGGGCCCAAGCCCCTGCTCACGGCCCCTCTGACCCTGCAGGTACTGGGTGCCTGTGGAGTATGAGGAGGAGGAGAAGACCCTGTCCGACGGCAAGGAAGGCGAGGAGGATGCTGGGCAGGTGGAGGAGAAGCAGCCTGAGGAGGATTTCCAGTGCACCGTGTACTTCTGGCAGGGCCGCGAAGCCTCCAACATGGGCTGGCTCACCTTCACCTTCAGCCTGCAGAAGAAGTTCGAGAGCCTCTTCCCCGGCAAGCTGGAGGTGTGCCCCCCAGACCACCCAGAGCTGGGGCCTTGCCCACGCACCTTCCGGAGGGGTGTCAGGGCCAGTGGGTCTAGGATCCAGGGGAAGCTTGGTCTGCGACGGGGCAGGGGGCGCCCAGAGAGCTGCACCTTACACTTCCACACCCCCAGGTGGTGCGCATGACACAGCAGCAGGAGAATCCCAAGTTCCTATCCCATTTCAAGAGAAAGTTCATCATCCATCGGGGCAAGAGGAAGGTGGCCCAGGGTGCCCTGCAGCCAAGCCTTTACCAGATTCGCACCAACGGCAGTGCCCTCTGCACCCGGTGCGTGGCTCAGGGAGGGAGCATGTGGTGGTGGCCATGTCGGCAAGCTGCCCTGACTCCTGGCTGCCACCTCTCCCTCCCCAGGTGCATCCAGATCAGCACTGACTCCAGCCTCCTCAACTCTGAGTTCTGCTTCATCCTCAAGGTGGGGGCGTGGGCGTGGCCTCAGAGGGGAGGGGTGTAGGGTGGGCCTGACCAGACCCTCCCTGCACACTCCCCAGGTACCCTTTGAGAGTGAAGACAACCAGGGTATTGTATACGCGTGGGTGGGCCGGGCCTCAGACCCTGATGAGGCCAAGCTGTCGGAGGACATCATGAACACCATGTTTGACAGCTCCTACAGCAAGCAGGTAAACAGGGCAGGCTGATGACAGGTACATATGTGAAGGCACACAGGCCTGGTGCTAGACCAGCCCTTTTCCCACAGGTAATTAATGAAGGTGAGGAGCCCGAGAACTTCTTCTGGGTAGGCATCGGGGCACAGAAGCCTTATGACGATGACGCTGAATACATGAAGCACACCCGCCTCTTCCGGTGAGGCTGGGGCCCTGACCCTCCTGCAGCTTCCTCCTTCCTCCTGGCACTGCTCCTTCTGACCCTCAGCCTCTCCCTGACCCGGTTCCAGGTGCTCCAATGAGAAGGGATACTTTGCAGTGACTGAGAAATGCTCTGACTTTTGCCAAGATGACCTGGCAGATGATGACATCATGTTGTTAGACAATGGCCAAGAGGTGAGACCTCAGTGAACTTGCCCATTTGAGCACTTGTATAGATGAGAATTTTGAGACAGGAAACGTGGGCGTATTCTTGAGTTCCTTGTGAACCACCTCCCTGCTGTCCTCACAGGTTTATATGTGGGTGGGGACCCAGACAAGCCAGGTGGAGATCAAACTGAGTCTGAAGGCCTGCCAGGTGAGCCGGGTGGAGGGGAGGGCGGAGGCCAGGCCTGGTGGTCTGGAAGTCAGCCCAGGACTCACAGCTGGCCTTGCCCACCAGGTGTACATCCAGCACCTGAGGTCCAAAGGGCAGGAGCGCCCCCGCCGTCTGCGCCTGGTCCGCAAGGGCAATGAGCATTGGGCCTTCACCCGCTGTTTTCACGCCTGGAGCACCTTCCGCAAGGCCCTAGCCTAGGGCCACCACTGCCTGCGTGCAGTGCCCAGCTATAACCCCACACTCTGAGTGAGGAAGAGCAAGGGCCTCTGTCTATCCCACCTGGCAGCAGAGGCTGTGTGCAGGTGGCAGCCCCTGCTCCAGCCACCCTCCAGGGCCACAGTCCCCAGCAGCACACCCTAGACATCACAATGGGGATGACCCTGACTGGTCCCCTAAAGGGTCTGGAAAATTGGGAGTTGCTCCAGTGAATACTCAAGTGTGACACCACCACCCCCTCCAGGGATAAAGTAGATAAGTCACCCTTTAAGAGATATTAAATGCTTTTATTTTCAATATTAAAAATCAGTATTTTTTAATATTAAACAATGCTAAATATAACAAAATGACAAAAAAAAAACCCAAGGTACAATCTACAGAGGACCCATCCTGGCCACTGACCCTCTAGTATGTGCAGGCGCGCGCGTGCACACACACACACACACACACACTCTCTCTCACACTCTCTCTCTCTCTCCCCCCTCCCTCCCTCCCTCCCTCCCTCCCTCCCTCTCCTCTCTCCTCTCTCTCTCTCTCTCTCCAGAGGACCCATCCTGGCCACTGACCCTCTTAATATGTGCAGACCACACACACACACACACACGGCCCCAATCTTGGGTGCCCAGAGGAGCTGGCACATACACACGCACACACACTGACTCATGCAGACTCAGGTGCCGGCCCAGGAGCAAGTACCAAAATAGTTTTAGAAATGACTCTCTGGCCCAGCACAGGCATTAGAAAAATACTCTTTACAAAGGAAGTTGGGAAGGATGATGTGTGGAGTGGGAGGTGGTGTGGGCTGGCAGCCCCAGCTGTCCTCTCCCCGTGGCACCTGGCCTCGGGGGTGGCCAACTGCCCATAGGAAGGACTGCTCTGAGTCCACCCCAGAGCTCGGCCAAGTACCAGGCCCACACCCTGGCAGGGCAGGTAGGGCCTACGTGAAGGGGCCAGGGGCCATTGGTTCCAGCTCCAAGCAGGGTAGCTGGTAGCTGGATAGTTCTGGCCTTCCTAGTAGAGGAAAGGAAGAGGGGTCAGCAAAAACCCAGGTAGCTTGGCCATATAGGTGCCACCAATCTGCCTGCTCTCCAGGGCAGGCAAAAGGCTGCCCCAACCACCTAGGGGCAGAGACCCTGCAGTGAGAGCCTGAGATGGGCCTGTTCAGGCTGAGTATTGACCATGTCCAACCCACTGAGGCCAGGGCATGGCCAGGAACGGGCTTTGGTGACCCAGCAAGAGGTGGGGGTTGAGGTGTCGGCCTGGTGGGGGGCAAGGCCACATGGGTGGGGGGCGGGCTCTAGGCAGCAAAAGCTTGGGCAGATCCACAGCCCCAGATCCAGGCAGGGGCCACAATGAGACCAGAAGGGCTGACTGGCTGGCCCCAGGCTGGGCCCACTCAAAGGGCTCACCCAGCAAGGCCTGACCTTGTGTGCCTGGGTGAGGCTCATCTGTGAGGTGGGAAGGCCAGACCAACTCTCGAGCCCTAAGCTGCTGCCACCTCTTAAATGATTTGGCCTGGCCATGGCCAAACACCACCTACAGTGTTGGCCTTTTTCTAATCCCAAACTATGAAAATCGTATCTGAGTTGGTTCCCAAAGCCCCTGCCAAGACACCCCTGGAACATGGTGAGGCTTTGGGAATACCACCATCACAAGGGCCTGCCAAGGTTTCAGGTGCATGAACAGGGAGACCCCACAAGGGTCAAGGCTGTTGAGCGATGAAGGCCAGGCAGACCCAGGGCCCCGCTGCCTGCAGTGCCTCATTTGATCAGGACAGTACAGGCTCGAGCCTCCTCTTCTCCCAGACTCCTCAGATTCTCAGATTCCTCTGAAGAGCTGAGGGAAGGGATGGGGGTGGTGCTCAGAGGGTCCTGGAGTCTGGCCCCTTTTCAGCCCTCCATGCCTAGCTCTGACAAGGTGGCTGGAAGGTGGGAAAGGAGGCTGGGCAGCTGGGAGCCCCTCCTGTGGACCTGCCCACCCGCCTCACCCCAGGAAATCCTTCACATCTTCCACCGTGACATCCCCTGTTGTGTCCAGCGTGGTGTCAGCACTGGTGGCCGAGTCAACAGACATGGGTGAGAGCATGGCCTCAGGCAGCTCTTGAATATCTGCAGGGAAGAAGGGATCAGGCCCCTGCCTGGATCCCTGGGCACCCTCTACACTTGGGAACCTGAGGACCCTGTCCCAAAGCCAGCGCATGGTGGGATGTGGCACCCACAAGCAGACCTCCACCCTTCTGCCTGCCCACCCAGTGTCCTGTTACCCCATTCACCCCTTGCCCCTCACCAGATCTCTTGCTGCAGATAGGATCTGGGCTTCCATCATGACTCTGTGGGGCCAAGATGATGCCCGGGGTCCCATTTGCCTGGCTCAGCTTGGGTGACTCTCGGAGCCTGTGGCTGCAGAGAGAGCCCTGATGCTACAGGCAGGCACCTCAAGGCTTGAGGGCCAGACACCCCCCCACTCCAAGCCCTGGGACTAGAGCGGGTGGACACCAGGGAGGGTGCCCTCATTCTGTGCAGAATCCAGGGACATGGACGGGACCAGCCTTGGTCACAGGGCCTCCCAGGCCAAGGACTGCCTCTCCTTGTACCTGGCATGGGCAGAATCTTGGGGCCAGCTAACGTCCAGGGAGCAGAGTGGCTCTGTGATGTTCCGGGCACTTAGGGAGAAGCGTTCAAACTCTGATGGGGAAATCAGGTAAAAACCTGGGTGGGGCAGACAAGGAGTGCAGTGCAGTTAGGAGACCCAACTCCAGCCATGGCCCCCAGTGCCACCTCCCCAGTGTATGCTAGCTGGGCCGGGGCCCACTGCGCCCACCCCAACACTCCCCAGCAAGTCTCCTGGCCCTGCTCAGGTTTCTCACCCTGGGAGCCTTTTCCCTCACCCTGGCCGTGGCGCGTGAGGACGCAGGAAGCGATGCCACTGATGTCCTCCTTCCGGATACAGGGATAGTGCACTTGGGGCCGCAGGCCCGGCACCGAGAACACGTGCACATCGCCCAGGTTGGTGAGGCAGGCCAGGCAGGTCTCAGCATAATCCTCACAGGCCACACTGGCAAACGTGGCCAGGGCCACCTTCCGCACACGACAACCTTCATGGGCTGTCAGCTTGAACTTAGTCTTGGCACTCACCTTGGGCAGTGTGAACACCTGGTGGCGGACGGGTGGCCATTGAGCAGAGTCCAGCCCTGTTCATCCCCCCAGGGCCCTTCCTCCCAGCTGTCTGCACTAGCCCCCACCCCAAACGGAGTCTGCACTCAGGCCTGCCCTCTGACCTATGCCCCTGGCCCACTACCTCCTGCCCCAAGCTGCCATCTCCCCACCAAACCTAGGCTTCACGTGCTCCCTGAACCCTCCCAGGCCCCTCCATCTGTGGGAGAGCCAGTCACACGGGGCTGTGAGGATCACATAGCCGTTATCCACCCAGACCATGAGTTTCTGCTAGATGGAACCCGGGGGTGGTCAAGAGGGCCTGGAGGCGAGTCAGTGAGGTAGGAGGCACCTGAAGGGGTGCAGCAGGCTGGGGGTGGTGGTTCTTCAGGAGCATCTCTGCTGGCTGGGGGGCTCAGCAGGTAGCGGGCACAGGCAGGGCAGGGGCTCTGAAGGGGTCTCCTTAGTGGCTCACCTTGAACTGCTCCTCCGATGCAATGAGCACAGCATGGCCACCCTGCATGTCAGGTGCCTGTGCCAGGTCTCTTGAGGCCTCGTAGGGTTCAGGCAGTGGGCGCCCACGCCCATCCAGCACGGCGATGGCCACCACGGGTGCACGGTGCATCAGCTGCACCTCCTTGCCCAGCACAGCCTCCACCGCCCGCTCAGGCTGCTTCTCGCCACCTGCTGCTGCTGTCGGCACCTCCAGCGCATAGGCGAACACAGAGCCGGAGTTGGTCCCTGCCCACATGGTGGGTCCATGGTGGACTGCTACGGGGCAACAGGCTGGTGAGGCAGGGCGTTTTCCTGCATGCTGCGGGCCCCCCTCCTTGTCCTGATGTCCTGGGAGCCAGGACTGGCTCTCTCCTGTCCCATGCCTCCACAGTGATTTTGGCCAGTCTCATGGCCTTAGCACCTTCTCTATACTGCTAACAAAAACCATGGCCTCAGATGCCCCTCCTGCGGAAGCAGAAATAGCTTCGAGGGCATCCCAGGGGTGTCAACAAGCACCTAAACTGGAGCCTGATATCCCCATCTCCATCCCACTGCACCCTCTGCCCATACAAATCCCTGACTCTTCCCCTACCCACCACATCCTTTCACCTGTCCTGTATACACATCTGGCACCAGGCCCTCACCCTGCTGGTGTGCTCGGTCCTGTCACCCCCCCTCTGCCAGCCCCCTGCTGCACTCAGTCCCCTTCAGTGCCAGCCTTGGGGCAGCCAAACATGGAAGTCCCACCCAGGCTGAGACGAACCAAGGCTGCCCGGCTGCCGTCCAGCCTGCCTACATTCCCTGCATGAGCTAAACCTCTGGGGAAGGGGCTTTAGTGGGGAACCAGGGCTCAACAAGCAGGGGCACAGTCCCCGCCGGACACTCGTGAGGATGGCGACCTCAGCGACAACCAGGGGGAGCCAAGCCCCCAGCAAATAGTTGGTGAGCAAGTCAACACACTGCCAGAGACACCCCCACCATGCCAGCCTGCTGGGAACCTTAACCCCGTCAGCACTCTCCTGGGGATGATGGAACAAGGGAAAGACCCCCCAGGGCTATCACATCCAGACAGTGGGAAAATCCACTGGACCAAGACCCCTCAGCAAATAAATGGCACCAGAAGGTGGGACTCCCTTCGCATACTCAGACACTGAAAGATGCGTCAGTGACATGCCACGTGTGGACTAACTGGATGTTGTAAACCATATAAAGGCATTTTTGAGATGTATAGAGACAGCCACCCATGGCCGGGAGTAAAGATGGAACGGGCATCAGCTCCGTGGGTGGTACAGGCACTGTGGCCCAGGCTATGCCTGTGAGACACACTAGCGCATTCAGGAGTGGGTTTCCATTTAAAATATTCCAGCAAGACAAAGAGAACGTGGGGTGGGGACGGCCAGGGACACCACGGCAAGTGTATGGGGTAACTGCTCCTATTTTTGTGTAGGATTCCATTACACAAGTTAAAGACAAATCCGCAAATCAGCCAATAAGCCTAACCACATGGCTTCTCGGCAGGACCTGTCCGGCGTCCCATCCCTCGGGGTCAGAACCAGCTCCCTGGTGAGGTGGACAGCCCCTGGCCTCCAGGAGCACCTCCTCGCCTCAGCCACACAGCCAGGCCATCTCCCCAGCATGCCTGCCTCAGGC